GGCAAAGAGTGGACACTCAAAATATATGTGTCTCTGCTTTTTTTCCTGGATGCTCTCTCTCTGTCTCTCTCTTCTCAATGAGTTTTTCTCTTTGAGTAACATTTCTCAGAACAGATTGTGCTTACATCTGTCATTTTGGAGAAGACTCATGCACACACACACACACACACACACACACACACACATCCTAGGCTTTGCCTGTGATCTCATGTACAGTATCCTTGTTGTCAGGCCTGTATGATTACAGCAATGCCATAAATTGGCTAAGGAAACTCTAAACTGCAGGAACTGTTTACAGAGTAAATCTTAGGGATTTATTAACACTACTGAGTTCTACAAACTCTAGGTATTTAATCTCAGCCTTCAATTTAACACTTGAATGTGTTGTTAACAATAAATATTGTTTTATTCCTATCACTGCATGTCTCTCTATGACTGTCTGTCTATCTTCCTGTCTGTGTGTATGTGTGAGATAGAGTTGAGTTCACAGTTTAAAGCACTGCAAATGAGCTGATGTGTCTGAAAAGAGAGAGCACATAAATTCACCAGTCTTAATGCGCACACATACACATTAACGGCTGTATTGATTTCCAATATGTCAGTCTCTATAGTCTCACTCTGTTGATGAACAGTAATCCATTCCTCTAGACTCGCCCCTCCCTGGTTACCATGGATGTGGATGGCATGATGACAGATGAAGTAGAATGTTGGATATATGTCTGCATCTTTATGTCAGAAGGCTGGATATGGATATGACGTTTAAGTTTGTAGTGTGGCAGAGACACTGGGGGTTCTTGAACATCAGAGCTCCTAATCCACACACTGTTTTATTTGTGGAAAACAGGTAACATACAAATCAATTCTATGTACACACTAAAGCTTAACTGCGCCTGAAATTTTGTTTGCACCTGAATACAGCCCAACTAAATTTGTCCAAGCCTCACCCAACCTAGTCTGTCTAGGATGTCTAAACTGACATCACCTTTTTAGTCAGAACCTGGCCCAAGAGTGACCAAATTTTCAAAACATAATATTCATAAAATCAAATTTTGAGCCTGAAACTGACCCAGTCCCAACCAAATTTTGTCCAAACCCAACCACACTTGAACCACATAATTAAGTTCTGAGTCCAGTCCCAACCCAGGCCTGACCAAATTTTGTCCATACCCAACCTGACCCGAAGCACATAATCAGCTTTTGAGTCAGAGCCCTACTCAAGCCTGACCACATTTGTCCAAACCCAACCTGACCCACATTACACAACCAATTATTGACCCTAACCTGACCAAATGTAGCAAAATTTGTCTGAACCCGAGCCAAATTGAACCCTGTCAGCTGCGAGTGTGAAACTGAACTGAGCCCTGCAACACATGTGGGTGACTCCAGCATGTAACCTTGGGGCCGAGGCAGGTTGTAAGTGCGAAGTGACTTTTTTAAGGGCGTTCTGATACCCATTGTCATAGCAGGCAGGGGTCAACACACAGGCAGGCAGGCAGGAAAAAATGCATAGTCAGAAATAACAAAGAGACTAGCAGGGGTCAAAACCAGAGAAAACCAAACACAATAAACAGCTCAGAACCCAAGTGACAAATACAGAAAGCAACACAGAGACTCAGCAAACCCATGGTGGAACCAAAGCGGTATATGTAACAGTCTTATTGAGATTAACATAGGTTGCAGGTGTGTGGGAGAGAAGGAGAATGGGCAGATTTGAAAAACTAAAGCAAGGGGATAATGCACCGTACAATCTGTTAAAAATGGGAGACGGGCTAAGAGAACCTGAACATGAAATCTGACCCTCACCTGAGACTAAAACATAATTGTGAAATCATTGCCATCTGAAGTGGACTGAATTCAACAACAAATATTTCGAGCTCTAAAACACACACAGACGTGCCAGTGCATTTAAAGATGACAGCTTGGTGGACATAAAACCTTTACAGTTTTCCCCTTAACCCACATGAAGTTAGCCAGCCAACACATTTTAGTTTTGCTTTGGAGCTTTGAGGCTCATGTAGCTAACAAGTAATGAAGACTTATAGCCACCAAATAGCTTTGTGCAAACAACATACCTAAATCATCACACACTTCCTTCTAACTGTGTCCAGATGTAAAGTAATCTCAGACTTAAGAGTGTGGTTTCTGAAACTATATGGAAATAGAGTTTAACTATAAAAATGAACAAAATCAGGCTTAAATATGGCTGTTTTAGCTATACAACATATTTTCAACAGTTTTCTTTTCTTGGACTAAACTAGGCCAAGTGTAATCCTTTGTTTTGAATAGTGTTATGCTTTTGTTGGGAAGTGCCATCTGGGGACAAAAGGAAGGCGCAGCAGTAGTGTGAGCAACAGCTGAAGCACAGGAGAGCTTCCTCTGCTAAACCAAAATGTAGCTATTGCATTATTCAGCCTCAGGCATTCCCTTTAAGCACTGCTGTGCAGGAATGCTGTCCCCTGCAGAGCTCTGTTGACATACATCTGTGTGTGTGTGTGTGTGTGTGTGTGTGTGTGTGTGTGTGTGTGTGACTGTAATTCAACAAGCCATTTTTTCAAGCTAAACATTTTATGCTATTGCAGGGTATCCAAATCTGACTGTCTCACAAGTCTGACTATGCAGTATGCTGAGGTAGAGCTGTGCAGAATGGCAAACAGAATGTCACATTTTTCATTCTCAGTAATTTTTAATATTGATTTTCTTATGCTCAGTTTTAAGTCTGAACAGAATTTGGGAGAAAACACCTTTATTCTGATGAAATTACCAATAGCACCAATCCAGTACCCACTACTGGTATTAGGCCAATATCAGTGGAATACGACTCAGGATTGGATTGGATATTTGGAGAAAAAAGGAACTAGTGCAGTCCTCAGTAATTTGGGCATGATAGCCTATTTTTTAGATACTCAATTAAAAGTATTTAGTGTTTTTAAAGAAAAATATCAAATTGTTATTGGCCTTCACTAAAGTTTTTAGCATCTGTATTGTATCGGAATAAATGGTACCAGAATCAGAATTAGATTTATTGGCCAAGTATTTCGACACAAGGAATTTGGTTCCAGCCATTGGTGTCTCTCTAGTATTATATGCAATGTACATATAAATTACAGACAATACCCAGTATACACCATACACAGTATACACTGCATACATGTAATAAGCAGATATATAAGTACATTAATATACAATGTACATATTATTTACAGACAAAAAATACACAACATACAAGCAACATAAGATTATATAGGGACAAGCGGTATACATAAGTGTGTGTGGTAGTGCAAACAACAGTGGTGTACAACATGTATGGGAACTAAATTGTGGTGTATAGTGGTATAGATGTAAAGCAGGGTGTAATAACTAGCTAGAGAAAGCAGGAGTAGCAGTGGCCTAGCAGATGATATTACTGGTCAGCTCTTTATGAGGGTGATGACCTGAGAAAAGAAACTGCTGCTGCGTCTGGTAGTCTTAGCAGACAGGGTTCTTTAGTGTCTACCGGAAGGGAGGATTTGATAAAGGTTGTTTCCAGGGTGTGAGGAGTCTGTAATGATTTTCCCTGCCCGTTTCCTGGTTCCTGAAGAGTACAAGTTCTGATGATGATTTTTTCAGCTGTCTTTACTGTTCTTTGCAGTCTGTTCCTGTCCTGTTTTGTGGGTGCTCTGAACCAGATCGTGATGGATGCACAGAAAACAGATTTGATGACTGTGATGTAGGACTGGCTCAACAGCTCCTATGGGAGTCCCAGCTTCCTCATTTGCCATAGAAAGTACATCCTCTGCTGGGCCTTTTTGAGGATGGTGTTGATGTTGGTCTCCCAAATCAGGTCATGGGAAATGGTAGTTTCCAGATACTTGAAGGTCTCCACGGCTGACACAGGGCTGTTGGATATTGTGAGAAGGGGGCAGTGCTGAGGGGTGTCTCTTAAAGTCCACAGTTATCTCCATGGTCTTGAACGTGTTCAGCTCCAAGTTGTTCTGACTGTACTAGAGCACCAGCCATTCAACCTTCCACCAATATGCAGACTTATTGGCGCTTTGGATGACCGATGACTGTAGAGTCATCTCTAAACTTCAGGAGTTTAGCAGAGGGGTCAGAGGTGCAATCGTTGGTGTAGAGAGAAGAGCAGTGGTGAGAGTACACATCCTGGAGGAGAACCTGTGCTGACTATCCGTAACTGCATATGCGTAGAACTGCAGAGGGTCCAGCAGATGTCCTATGGCATCCTTTAGGTTGGCCAACATCAGTTGTTCAAAGGACTTCATGACCACAGATGTTATTCAGTGCTGTGATTGAGGGTTTCTTAGGGACTGGGATGATGGTGGAGCGTTTGAAGCAGGAGGGGACTTTACACAGCTCCAGGGATCTGTTGAATATCTGTGTGAAGATTGGAGCCAGTTGGTCAGCACAGGCCTTGAGACAGGAAGTGGAAAAAGCGTCTGGACCTGGTGCTTTTCTGGTCTTCTGTCTTTGGAAGAGCCTGTTCACATTCAATTCACATGTCACATATTGTGCCATCTCTAGATGAAGTACAGACAATTATAGCATCTAAAATAAGTAAATAAAAGCTACGTTTTGTGGACATTGCACTTTTACCAGGCATTTAGACATTTAGACTTTAAAATGAAAAGAGAGTAACGTTTTTTCCTAGCTTGCTTGCTAACTCTGCTAACTGTCACACTGGTTTTTGCTGTTGCATGTGAATAGATTTCTTCCTCCTCTTCCTCAGTTAACAAGTAATTACACATATTGCCACCCAATGTACAAGCAAGAATGCAAATGTCAATCCTGTGCTACTAAGACTGCACTGAGAAGTAAAATTGCATAATCATTTTACCAAAAATACCTCAAACTGATCACTGATATTGATAAAATGCTGGATTTTGATTATTATTGTTATGTTTTTTGCCCTTGCCTTCCCTGAGCAATTATTCTAGTGCTAACTGCCAGCTTCAGAGGGAAATTGCTGATGTATTCCTTATGTTCTGCTCTCTGTTTCTCTGTAGGTGTTGTATCTGCAGTTGGCGGAGGTTAACAGGGAGAAGGTGTACCCCATGCACCAAAGCAGTATTGATGGAGTGGAGGACATGTCTGCTCTGGCCGAACTGCATGAAGCTGCCATCATGCACAACCTCCACCAGCGCTACCAGAAAGACAACATCTATGTAAGCATTTAATAAACTCTGTATACTGTTTTATTATAACTCCAAACATCACAGAAGTGTTTATTTTATCCATAAAATATATTTGTAGCATGCCATGTGCTACCCTGGGCACACAAAGGATGCTGGAGGAAGGACTGAGGGTCGCAGCACTCATTATACCTATATTTCCACTCCAAACACAAACAAAATCAACTTAAATCGACAGTCAACTCCCGCCATCACTCGCGTCTCTTGACTGTGTTCAGGGTTCGGGCCCGGGGAATGGGCGCAGGCTAAAATATGAAATAGGAGCTACAGTACCAGTTGAAGATTTTAGGATTCAGGAGTTTTCATAACTGGTACATGCTGTACGTTATAGAAGTTTATTTTCTAGTATTTGCCAAAAACATATTGTAAAACATTGGAAGTTGCTCAGATATTCCTTCGATAGGTAGGTAATTTGTTTTCTAATTTTGGGATTTGGATAATCTGTTTTTTTTTTTTGTTGTTGTTGGTTTTTTTGGCAAAATTTTGGCCATCAGTAAAGGCGAACTGCAAAATACTGTAAGGTTCAGGGTTCTCAGGAGGAGCTTAAACGATTCAAGGTTACGGTCCACAGCGCAGCTTAATTTTTAAGTTCCTGAAAACAACACCAAACATGGCGGGAGGAAATACAGCCACTCCAGTGCTAAGAGCTAAAAACACAGCCCTCTGCTCTACTTTAGAAAACCTACCACTCCACATGTATTCTGGCTTTTCAAAATAAAAGTCTTTGTACAAATGAACCTAAAACAGCCCAACATAAACATTTGTTCTCTGAACTACTTACAACGCAAAGGTGACGTCACAGTACATTTATCAGCACAATCTTGTACTATACTTATACTTTTTAATTGCACTGTTAAAATGTGGAACTATATTCCATCTCAGCTGGAGCTTCTGACATCCCGCTCACTCACAGCAGTGAACATCACGCGGTGCTAGACAGCATGCATTTCCTGAGTGACTGTAGACAGTTCCCCGCCATACTGGATGCTTACTAGGGCCACTATGTATGCCCTTTGTACCTCAAGTTAGATCCGTGACACGTTGGTTAATCCAGGCATGCGCTGTGCTATTACCTGCTAGCCGGCCTGGTAGATGGAGTCAAGCAGCGCTGTGAGCTCTCTGTGAGGAGAACAGCACTGCTGTAAATACTGCTGTTTAACTTTCCTGATTTCTGCTTTTCCCATAATTAGCTCAAAATATAGTACATCAAATGTAACGTGCCATAACTTTTGCACAGGTCACATTTAATGTTTTTTTTCCCCAATATGTTACATTCAACAAATAATCAGTAACTGTGAAATTAAAATGTACAGAAGTATGCTCTCAGTAGAGGATGTGTACCTTTTTTCACTTAGAAAACTAAGAAAACTTAATTATGTGGTTTCGGAAACTGTAATTTGCTCGGGATGCCCAGAAGTCTTCACACAACTGTATATGCTTTTAGTTATTTGCTTATTCCTTTATCAGCAGGAGCTCAGCTGTGCTGCTTCTTTCGTACTGTCCTATTTATAGTTATTATGAATTGAAGGCAAATGAATGCCTTTGGGTTTTATTAATGTGCTTATATTCTAAGACCTCTTTAAAATTGGATTGTGTTTTGTCTGTTTTTTGCTGTTGGTGTTGTTGTAAATACGCAGGTTAGCATTTAGCAGTGAGTAAAGAGGAAACATCTGAGAAGCCCCTTTAACACAGATGGCTGTTTCTGTTTTCCTTTACAGCTTTATTTTCCTGTAGTTTGGCTGCTAGTGGTCAAGAGTATCGATGCGCATATATCAAATGTGTGGGCTGATAATGATGATAATTGATAATTAATACCTTGCAGTGGTCACTACCAGTACAGGTGGTAATTAGTAATATAATAATATATATAATATATACTCATATATGAAAATAATAATAAACCGACAATAATACAATTTTACCATTTTTCAGTGGATAATGTATTGGTCACCAATGTATGTACAAACTAGCCTCTCTCTTTGTATGTCCCTTATGTGTAATTGGGGTTGTTTTGGGTTCTGCATCTCACATTCAGCTGCATGAATGACCAGAGCTTCCTGACCGAGACAGGGTAACTCAAAACATTTCAGTCAGGGGTTAAAGGGAAAAGCTTTCTGATTAAGACAGCTTCCTGTCTAAAGAAAAACATCCCATATCTGAATATAACCCACACTGTGTATTTTTGTGAAAGTGATACTGTACAGGATACTGTTGGGCATTTCTAGAGAAAGTATTTAATATTTGGTGACTGTTTGGACTTTGGGCCCTTTTAGACTCATTAAACTCACTCCCAAGATTCTTTATGGGCCCTTGAACCAGACGAGCTAAGGATGGCACTTTTGGGTGGTCAGTTATTTCTGGAATGTATTTGGACAGACAGAGGAAGCTGCCTTAGTCATGACACACTGATAAACACTCTAAGGAATCTGACCATTGTTTCTATGAGAACTGTTAATTCACTAAATATAGCAGCCTAGATTACGGTTACCTCTCACACATCTGTTTGCATGCGTGGTGTTTTTAATATTTTTGTATAAACATTTATTTTATATGTGACATCTAAGAAAAAAATAATATTGTGATATAGAAACTATGAACACAATGATTTGCTTTTAAATTAACTTTAAATAGACTATTTAAGAAAGGACAGGTGGTAAAAAAGAATAAATTAATAAAATAAAATAAGGAAAATAGGCTCACATCCAGTCTGCTGCTTCTTACTGTACAGCTTATGCAGTTACTATACACTGGTTGCTGTTTACATGCTGTATAGTTGGTCTATCAATTTGTCCATGGTCTATATTTTTATGATACATATAGGTATTCGTGGGGGTGCACTGATATGAAAATTGTGTGAAGCCGTTTTTTTTGTTAAGTATATACAGTTGTGTGCAAAAGTTTGAACATCTCAGGCCAAATGACACATTTCGTTGATTTTTGATGTGAAAAGAACTGAACACAACCTCTGCAGCAAACTGTTTATAAAAATGACATTTTTTTGTAAATATTAATGCAAAGTTATTTTATATTTTATTAACTTGAAAAATAAAAAAAATGTAATTGTGGTGTGTGCAGAAGTTTCAGTGCTTTAAGACAGGGGTGTCAAAGTCAACCACTGAAAAGACCGTGTTAAAAAATATGAGCAAATTCATTGACCAGCTATGTTTTTATTTCATTTTTACTTAACATTTCTCTGTGACTTGAACCGGTCATTGTTTATTCAAAATATGCCAAAACTGCAACAGCAAAATAGGCACTGAATACTTAATCAAAAATAATTCTAAATAAAAATAAATTGTTTTAGGTAGACTTTTCTTTTTGTGTAACCGTTGGCCCATAGATTGTTGTTGGGGGAAGGGGGTTAGAACGCACACTATGTTGCAGTGCATGCTGGGGACTGTAGTGTATCCCAGGGTGAAATGAGCTAATAAGAATAGAAAATTGAAATAGATTTGTGGACCGAATAGGACTGGCCTGACTCAGCCCATGGGCCTTGTGTTTGACACATGGGCTTTAAGAGGACTACACCATACTAGCAGATTAGCAGATGCCCTGCCTTCTTCTTATCACTCGTTCACTTTCAGTTTTTTGTTTACATTTATTTATTTAAAATAATCACTTATGAATTATATCAGTTTGTTTATGCTGAAAACCTAAGGTCATATTAACACAAGTGAGAGTGTTCAAATGTCTGGCAGTGTTTGTGCTGTTTTCTGAAGTTTCTGCCCTGCTGCGAGGTTGTGAGGCGAGTCAGCTGATAAAGGACCTTACAGGAAGGTGTACTCGGCAGTCATCTTTGCAACTTCGCTGTTATTTCCAGTCATACAAAACCAGACTCCTGTCTCTTTGAATGGAAAGAGACCTAAACACTCCTAAATAAAGGCCAAATTAACATTTCAAAAATAGATTTGAACCAGCAAGCTGATTGGCTCTTCATTTTAAGGCCTGCTTAATCTGCGCTTTGCCTCATCTACATCTTAAAAAGGAAAAAAAAATGCATATTAAAATCAAGCTTTTAACAATTAATGAGTCATGTTTCAGAAACTACATAAAATGCACCATAAATATATTGTAGTTTCTGACTAGCTCTCCCCCCAACAATTATTTCACGCCTGAGTAACTTGTTTCACTCTAAAAAAATGTCATGTAAAAGAAGAAAAATTTGTTCTGATTTATGATTCACGTCGACTTTAAGGATGTAACCGAGACTGGAGCCAGCCTTGGCGTGTTTTTTTGCTAACTAGGCTAACTACTCTAGCTGATGTTAGCTAGGTCCAGAAACAGTGGAAATATAGTTCTCTGACGGATTACCATGTTGGCAAATCACCCACTGAAAGACAACTGTTTTTTTTTGGCTTTGTTTTTCCTTTCCTGCGGTTAACCGATTATCTGTTTATTAACTCACACGTATACTTGAATATCAAAGCTAGTCAGAATTCACATCCCTAATATCGGCATCATGGTGCACGCCTAGTTTTTTGTGCAGTGTTCCAACAATGCAACACCTATGATATATTCAGAAAAGTGTATTGTGATGTAATTTATCACAATAACAATAACATAATATCACTTTACCCACCCATATTTTGTACTGCTGTAACAGAGGGAGCCACTCTGAATGAGGCTTTGGTTTCAGTTGGATCTCTGTGTTTGAACTAGTTTTGATTTGATTGGAATTAATTCAGTTGACTTGTTTAATTCTCTGTGTAAACTCTCATTACCCTACTGATTATAAAGCTGAACTTTGATTTGATTTACAGCCAGATCTGATAATCAGATGAAAATGAATGGTGTGTGTGTGTTTGGAACTGAAATGCCCTCTGGGTGTGTATACATGAGGTCTAAGCACAGTGGGATGCTACTGACAGTGTAGCACTGTGACAGTGTCTGCCATGTCACAGTTTTCTCTTCAAACCGGAGTTCATCTGATTGGCTGGCAGTGGCATGGGGCTTGAACCTCATTGGCCTAAATA